ATACTACTACTGTTTCCCCCCTACCCCCGGTACTACATTACCCAAAAACCACACAATGACATGTGCGGTCCTATCAAGCAGCGACGGACCTCAAACAAGAAACCAGAAGTGACTATTATCACGCACCTGAATGAGAACTGAAAGTCCGACGTGCGTTCCAGCATGAGATTTATGCTTTCCCAGCTGCCGATCATTGCCATCCATGAATGTAGTATATAAGAGCAGAACTATGGACATTAGCTACACATCTCTGAAGAGGTCCACCAGGATGAAACGCATAGGACTGTTCTATATACTATTTTAATTTTTTGTATGTATTTTCTCCTCACTCCTATGTGAAGTTTTCCAAGTTTATTTTCTGGAACATTTCTGATCCAGATACCATGTTTTACATGGAGATAGGCTGACACTTCATTTATGTCTTGTAAGTGCATTACTACTTAATACATTTGTAATTTTATACCATCTTCACCATGTTTTTTCTACCTTCTTTTTGAGTGATTAAGAAGGTTCATCTTGAAGATTGCCAGTGCTTACCACTTTTTACCCTATATAAGAGGGAAACATGCCTGCATTTCCATCCAATCAGTGAGTTCTATACCACCCCCACCGCTCTCCCTGTGCTGATTATACTGCACTAGATGTATTCTTTTTTTCACAGATATTATTTGACTTATTGGTTTCTTATATGGTATACACAGGTTGTTTATATTTTTACGATTACACACTTTTGGTGACTTTTACACATATTTTGTTCCCCGTTTTTGGTTCTTTAGTTTTTTTCTCTAATACATGTCACAACCTTACCTTGGTTTATTTTATTGTTGTTTACTTTTATTCTGAGAAGCCCCGTTACCCTAGGTGTGCTGCAAATACAAGTCCAGTTTCTGGCACTCACCATAACATCCAAAAATAAAGTAATGGCAGCCAGGTGCTTCTAAGCGCAAAAATCTACAAGAGAAATGAGAGAGCACTCCACAGGATTGTTTTCAAAGGTATAATGTCAATTCAATGTTTCGACCCTTCTGGGTCTTTATCAAGATTAATGACATACAATAATGTACAAAAACGTGTACACAGCAATAAGCAAATATGTGAAAAGAATTGTACGCAGTACACTATGGACAGTTCTCTATAGATGTCTTGTACCGTAATTATGTTGTTTTCTCCTCTATCTACTACTGTTATGATATATAACAATCCACCATGTTTGGATGCTCTGTATGTTTCTGCTTTGGGCATTATTGTCCATTATGTACTTAGGTCCACAAATGGATGTATTATTTATCCCTTCTTTAGTCCAGGTCTGGGTGGAGATCCCTCAGGAGACAATCCGCCACCTCATCAGGAGAATGCACAGGCATTGTAGGGAGGTCATACAGGCACGCGGAGGCCACACACAGTACTGAGCCTCATTTTGACTTGTTTTAAGGACATTACATCAAAGTTGGATCAGCCTTTAGTGTGTTTTTCCACTTTAATTTTGAGTGTGACTCCAAATCCAGACCTCCATGGGTTGAAAAAATTGATTTCCATTTTTTAATTTTTGTGTGATTTTGTTGTCAGCACATTCAACTATGTAAAGAACAAAGTATTTCAGAAGAATATTTAATTCATTCAGATCTAGGATGTTATTTTTGTGTTCCCTTTATTTTATTGAACAGTGTGTGTGTGTGTGTGTGTGTGTGTGTGTGTGTGTGTGTGTGTGTGTGTGTGTGTATATATATATATATATATATATATATATATATATATATATATATATATATATATAAAAGCTTAATAGTCCTTGCACACACTCAAATATTAGTGTCACCGGGTGCATACTTGAAGCCAAGTGCCAAAACATATAAAGTAAATACTAAATGTCTTGCACTCATGGTTTCTTTGAAGTAAAAAAGATTCCTTTATTGCAAATTCATAAGCTCAGTGTCTTATGAATTTGCAATAAAGCAATCTTTTTTTACTTCAAAGAAACCGTGAGTGCAATCTTATTATTTAATAAATGTATTATTTAATAAATATATATAGTGACAGAGCTCCCTGTACCCCTGACTGGGTACCTCCGCCAAGGACCACTTCCTAGCTGGAACAGGGGATAAACCGTAGCACTTCTGCCCACAGTCACCGCTCCCTCCTGGAGCTGAATGGGGAACTTGTTCTAGCAACCCCCAGGCACTGGACGACTCTCAGTTCTGGGAGCTCTAGTCCTGGAACCGCTCCCTCCTGGAGCCGAATGGGGAATTCGCTCTAGACATCCCCAAGCACTGGATGACTTTCCCCGTTGAATCCTCCACACTGGAACAGTAACCAAATGACACATAGTTCTGGGAGTACAAGCTGGAATACTTTAATGGCAGCCACAACTGGCCTTATATGCATGTCCCCATGCAAGGCGCACTCCCCCCTGGACCTGAGAGTAAACCACAGTAGAAACAAATACACAATTCCATCGGCTCTCAGATCCGGGACATTCCCATAAATATCAGATAATCCCTTCTGTGTGCCTGTAAAATAATAGGATCAGGAACTGTACTAATCTAATAAAATTATCTCCAAGTACAGAAAAAACATACTTTTTCCAAACATCCTAAAAATACATAAAAACCCCACAAAGTTACATTCCCTGATAGCCCTGGTCTGGGTGACCAACATATCCAAAAATCACCCAGATCAGTTTAGCGGTTTCAGGAATTTTCTTGGAGTAATTTGTTTTACCGACCGCATGCATGGTCCCATGGCCAAAACAGTTCCAGAGAATCAGAGCTTGCGGTCGGTCTAGTTCGGTAGTTTAAAAACAAACAAACTACTGAACATAGTCAATAGTCTTACCCTGGAGCTTGTTCCCCTTGTTCGTGGGAATGTTTCCACCGAACAGTGTCTTTCTAAGTGTTGTCGAACCGAACACAGGCGATCATGGAAGTCCAGCGGTGATGGGGAGTTTCAGTATTTGAAAATAGTTCCAAGAACTCGACGACCAAACACTGCTGCCTGCGTTCATGCGAACAAGATGGACACCACCTTGTGGTTATCCATAGGAATTGTGCCCACCCAGACGAACACTTAGAACACGAGGTGGAAATTGTTACAAAGTAGCAATTAGGCTTAACAAGCTCCAGGGTGGTCTCCGGTTCGTGCGGCTGTTTGGTTCCCGTACCATATAGTACAAATACACAAACTGAGACTTTTATATCACATTTTACAAGATCCATAGTCTGTTGGCAGATGGCTGGCAATCAGGCTCCTCCAGGAACTCATGGCAAACTCGCTTGAAAAGGGGAGTTTGTCACACATATACATATATATATATACATAGTCAATACAATGTTAAACAAAGATCTGCACACCAGTGAAGCCGTAAGACTTGCTTTTTCCATTCAAATTTGCAGTGATGTTAGGGTGGGCATTTGCAAATTAGTTAAACAAAGAATCACATTTTTGCCTCATTCCATTTTAAACATGGATTCCTTGGAGTTTATGTTTGCTGTATACAACAGCTTTGAAACACAAATCAGGAAGATATATAAAGCCAGTGACATATATACACCCATATATATATATATATATATGTGTTTTTTATTTTATTTTTTTGTTACTGTTTGGTTACTCAGTGCTGTTCCTCTGTATGCATTTTCTTCTCTGGTTAAATATTTTTATAGCATATCCTGAAATAAAGACCCATTCTCCATTTCTCATTGCTAACAATTTAGAGAGACTGGATCTCAAATACATGTGAATACAGTTAGCAGATCAGAGATTTTGGCCTTGATATATCCTTTTTGGCATATGTAACCTAACATGATGTTAGAAATACACATTTGTATTGTTATAGTTGTCCTTTAAAAGTTACTTTACACTGCAAGCCATAGTATACCCTCTAGGGGTAAATTTCTATTCATAAACGGCATATATCAAATATCTGATATCGGCACTGATTCAATATTGTTGGGTATTTTTTACAAATGATTTAATATCATAAAATATTTTAGTTTTGTAATATTTGATATATTAATATATATGTATATATATATATATTATACATGTTTTTTTTATTTTTAATATGCTGAAAAAATAACTGTAAACATTTATCTAAAAATATAAAATCATTTGGAAATCAATATTAAATACTTATTACATATGAAATCAAATCTAGATCTATGATCAACAAAAACATGTTTTAAAAAATACAAAGTATTGTATGAATTTACAGATACTGCATGTTTATATCAATTGCTGTATTCAAGTATATTCAAGAACATAACAAAACATGCTGTGGCTAAATCTTTTTTATATAACACTAAATTGTGTATGATGAGCATTTCACACCAAGAACAACAGGGGTTTAAATTATATATAGATTCAATGTTATTTCATTGCATGAGCCCTGATTGTCTCACAAACAGTTTTCATTATAAAAAAAAAATGTTTTATCAGATATATTCTTTAAATTTTGAGATGCAGTATAAGCTTCAAAGTATTGTTTTGTTACATTCTTGGGAAAGCAGAGCCAGATTAACTCTGTAGATCTGTAACAAGGGTAGACATTTGAGAACCCCTATTTTTATAGTTAAGAAGGACATGGGTATACAAGCACACAGGCACATACATAAAAGCACATTAGACACACAAATGGGTTTGTCTGCTTGGCTCGACAGAAGTTCGGAACCAACAATCTAATTTAGAAATTGCATCAGATGAAAAGAAAAGCTTGTGAAAATGTATAAAATTGTATATATTTTGCAGAGCACTGATGTTTGCAACATTTTCTATACAGATCAAGTAAGAAAAAGTAACAAATAAAGAGGAAAAACAGAAGTAGCTAAAATATATTTATATTGTATAACAAATAAATATGTAAATATAAAATTTTTACTGCTCCTCCATTTTCCCCCTTTATTGCTCATTTCTCATTTGACCTGTGAAAAAAATCAACATTAAGTGACTCTCCCCTAGCCATCAATCATATTTTGTTTCTCATCGTCTCTTTTGTTTTCCACCACAGGCGGAATTCACAATCACGGCTCTAACCAAACATGTACAACATTGCGCAGTTTGTTTGCTCTGTGATTCAGGTACATTTCAACTTGTACTTTGGAAATTCAACTAATCACCAGATCGAACCAAATTTAGAAAACTGCAGTTCTGAAACAAATCTCCAAGTCTACTGAATACTACTAATAGTGATGGTAACAGCAGTGGTGTTGGAGACAGTGGTGGAGGATGTGTAAGCAGTCCTAATTGCTGAGAGAGAGGTGTTCAGAGGCAATAGCACTACTGCTGATGGTTGATTTGAGAACGCAACTCCTTTCCCTACCCTTCCTCAATTTCTTCTTGGGATTAGGATGGAACGTTGATGAGGGTGGATTTGTTTTTCTTATTGCAATAAATGATATAATATATTACCTTACATGAGTGACTCTGTAATATGTAAACTAACACAACGTTATTGAGCAAAACAAGTGTTTGTGTTGCAAAATGCATTTGTGCTTGGTGGATATGCACAGTACACATTAGACTGATCACACACAAAAAAAAGTTTAAAAAATTATTTTCTTTCTACAAACATTTTTAAAAAATCCTGTCAAACTGTAAATTGGTGATTCCATGTTAGTGTTAGGTGGCAGAGACTAGCATTAGGACATTGCACTAACCATTGCCATTAGAATTACATTAGGATGAATGAAACAGGTAACTACCACTTAAAGCTTGTGTGAATGCCACTGTGGCAGTAACTAGGCAAGAGGAACCTTTTTCTTTATTACTGGACAGCACAATCCCCAAAAAATGATTGTCTTTCTACAAATACGTAACACAAACCTGTTAAACTGTATATTGGGAAACAAAGAATGTGACAGAAGATAAGAACCATTTGGCCCATCTAGTCTGCCCAATTTTCTAAATACTTTCATTAGTCCCTGGCCTTATCTTATAGTTAGGGTAGCCTTATGCCTATCCCACGCATGCTTAAACTCCCTCACTGTGTTAACCTCTACCACTTTAGCTGGAAGGATATTTCATGTATCCACAACCCTCTCAGAAAATAATACTTCCTGATATTATTTTTAAACCCTTCCCCCTCTAATTTAAGACTATGTCCTCTTGTTGTGGTAGTTTTTCTTCTTTTAATTATAGTCTCTTCCTTTACTGTGTTTATTCCCTTTATGTATTTAAATGTTTCTGTAATATACCCCCTGTCTCGTCTTTCCTCCAAGCTACACATGTTAAGGTCCTTTAAATTTTCCTTGTAAGTTTTATCCTGCAATCCATGAATGAGTAAAGTAGCCTTTCTCTAAACTCTTTCCAAAGTATCAATATCCTTCTGGAGATACGGTCTCCAGTTCTGCATACCATACTCCAAGTGAGGTCTCACCAGTGTTCTATACAATGGCATGAGCACTTCCCTCTTTCTACTGCTAATATCTCTCCCTATACAACCAAGCATTCTGCTAGCATTTCCTGCTGCTCTATTACGTTGTCTACCTACCTTTAAGTCATCTGAAATAATTACCCCTAAATCCCTTTCCTCAGATGTTGAGGTTAGTACTGTATCAAATATTATATACTCTTACCTTTTTTATGCCCAAGATGCATTATCTTGCACTTATCCACATTAAATGCCAGTTGTGACAGTTCTGACCATTCTTCTAGTTTACCTAAATCATTTGCCATTTGGATCATCCCTCCTGGAACATCAACCCTGTTACATATCTTATTATCATCAGCCATACCTTACCATCAAGACCTTCTGCAATATCACTAATAAAAATATTAAAGAGAATGTGTCCAAGTACAGATTCCTGAGGTACCCCACTGGTGACAAGCCCAAGCTTTGAATATACTCCATTGACTACAACCCTCTGTTGCCTGTCACTCAGCCACTGCCTTACCCATTCTACAATATTGGAATCCATACTTAAAGATTGCAGTTTATTGATGAACCTTCTATGTGGAACAGTGTCAGAAGCCTAACTGAAATATAGTTATCAATGCATAATGCACCATCCTGGTCTATTATTTTATTAACCTAATCAAAAAGAATCAATAACATTAGTTTGGCATATATTTGGATAATCTGAAAGGAATAATGAGAAACATCTCCCCCAACTACATATCTCAAACTGATGACTAACTTTAGAATTAAAATAAATGTTGTCGATATCCACAATGTGTTCCCTAATCCATTCCCTAAAATCATGTTCGCTCTAACCCATGTATTGAATTTTACATTTGAAGCATGTGATGAGATAAATCACATTCCTTGTCCTGCAATTGATAAAGTGGAAGATCTCAAAAACATTGTTGTCAACAGAGGAACATGTAGAAGCTTTGGTATCAAAATAACAACTGTTTTTGTTGTAAAATTTCAAGTGACTGGAAGAGATAAGTGAACCCAACATTGGAGCTCTGTGTGAGCTGAAATTGATGGTATTAGGAATAATAGGTTTGTAAAAACCATGAGTCCTAAGAATGGAGAGATGTTTATGTAAAACTGCATATTCAGCACTAAATCAAGAGCAGAAGGAAACACCTCAATCATTCAAATCCCATTTGTTCTAGAAGACCCTTTAGATTCCAATAATAGAGATTCTCTTGGATGTATTTTGGCTATTCTATAGCCCCTATTGATAATATCCTATCTGTAGCCTCTACCTAAGAAATGTTTCTTAAGTCTATTGGTGTGAATCTCAAAGATATGTGTGACGAAGTGCACTTCGCCACTTGGTCCTGGAAAGGCCTTTTTGCCAGCCTCCTGCCCTGTGACTATGGCCCCTGGGAGATTGTACCCTTTTAAACCAGCATTTGGGGCGTATGGACTTATTTGGACTGTGTATGGCCCTTGTTATACTTAAACCCGATGGCGATTTTATTCTGTTCGTGGGATCTGAACGCTGTTTGGATATATTGAGCGCTCAGATCCAAGCTATCTGGGGATAGGTTGAATGTGGGGGTTCTGGTCAGTATGATAGGAATTATGTATTTTTATGTGTTTTTACTGTTGTTGTAAATGGAGATATTTTCTGTATCCTGGGGATAATTGGCTTACCACATCCAAGCCATGCTTGCAGTTGGTCAAAAAGGGATTTCCAACTAACTTTCAGGGTCATCAGCTAGGTTCATCAGTAGGAAAAGACAACAAGTTGATGGATCACTTTCCATTTCTGCCCTGTCTCCCCCACACATAGAAACATAGAAACATAGAATGCAGATAAGAACCATGCGGCCCATCTAGTCTGCCCAATTTTCTAAATACTTGAACCACTGGACCAATTTGTATGATTTTGACATATGTTTGTATTTGAAGTATGCTGATTCTGAATTTATGTGAATGTGATGTATTCTTTTAAAGTTATGAATATTGTGTAAAAACTGTATATTTTCTGCCTGTGATAATTAAGCTAGTCTATTGTGTTGAGATAATTGTATCACAAGCAGAGGGGAGGATTTCTGCTGGAATGAATGGGAGGGGTTTACTTTATTGTATGTGTTGTAATGTTTTTATTGGTTGTTCTGAAAAACCCTGTGGGTGGTACTATGTATGGAAAACCTGCATAAAAGAAGGCCCTTTGGTGCCAAGTAAACAGTTCTTCTTCACCATCAACACGAAGTCTTGTCTCGTGATTGGAGGGGACAGCTATACTCACACTGGGGATTGCTATGCGCTGCATACTCCCCTGAGCTTTAATCACTCAGCTCTTTTAAGAGCTTGTTCCTGATACAGTCTCCTGGAGGAGAGGTCTTCCCCACACGGTCCTGGAGGACAGAAGCTGGTCCAGGGTGGACAGAAGACGGCGAGACTCCAGTTGTGGAGTCTGTGGTGGTTCTGGTGTCCAGTCCAGTGCAGTGCTTGTGGTCCTTGGCACAAGCTAGGAATCGTCCATCAACGGAAGGTACTCGGTCGGAGTACGGGAGTTCCGTTACAATATGGTTATCTGAGCAATTACGTCTAATGCAAATTAATTCCCCTACAGGAATTCCTGTAAATGTATGATTTGGATGGTAACTAGTTGCCAAGAGAGAGTTCCCTGAAGATTTTCTAAAATTATCTGTCATAATGCTACCTGTGGTAGAGACAGTAAAACATAAATCCAAAAAATGATTTTAGAACTATTGCATGTCACAGTAAACGATAAAGTGTAAGTGTTCTTATTATTAGTATCAATATGCTGCACAAGAGACTCTTGGTTACCTCTCCCAAAAAAGTACAACATCAAAAGAAAACCCAAACAAATTAGCGAGAAATTCTGAACATTATTAGAAAAACCTGAATGAAACTTAAGAAAGTAAGACACAGTCTGTAGTCCAGATTATGGTGAATAGAGGAATATAAAGAACTGACGTCCAAGGAAACCCACAAAGATCCTGTTTTACATTTGATATGCTGAAGTTTAGATAAAATATGTTTGGTGTCTCTCCCCCAAATAATCATTTCCTGCTAATATAGGGCCACCAGGGGGATTGGATATTGGCTTGTAAATTTTAGATAAATGGTAAAATGGTAAAAATATACTCTCGGTTGGGTTTTATTAATGTTTCCTTCTTATTCAGAAAACCCATACAGAAACCCCAGTTTACCAATTCTGATAAAGAGGTGGAAAATTCTTGTGTAGGATCCAGAAGAAGTTTAACATAGGTACATTCATCTGATAACTGTCTCAATGCCTCTAGTTTTTAATCTTCCCTATTCATGACAACAACCTTGACACCCTTATCCGAATGCCGGATAACAATGTTATTATTTCTCGTAAGATTTTTCAAAGCCAAATGTTCCTCAGAAGAAAGATTATCTTGAAATCTACATTTAAATCTATTACATAATCTAATCAGATCATCTTTTACAAGTTCCATGAATAAAGATTTTACAAGGGAACATATGTAGGTAGAATAAACATTAGATATTGCTTTTAAATCGTAAAAAGAATGGAGTTCTGTCGTTCTAGGTTTGGATCATTAGATTCCTGCCAGAGATGTTCTAAATCAATTAAATCACACTGATCCTTGAAAGTGAGAACATCAGTAACAATATTGGTTGCTGGTAAATTAAGATCTTTTTCACATAGATCATAGATCATAGATCGACAAGTCAGAGCCCAGATGGTAGTCCCCTTGGGTATCAAAAGTGTCAGTGCGTGTAGAACAATAACTTCCAGGGGGCTTTCCTATATAAATTGAATCATGTGGATCTCTAGAAAAAAAGGTAAAGACATATATTTTTCTTTCTTTCTTTTCTTTCTTTTCTTTCTTTTCATTTAAGATTATGGAAGGGATAGGAGTTTTTAAACTCACCATATTCTATATTTAAGGATGGCGTTTGTATCTGTGAATTACTTCTATGTCTAAGGATCCGGTGGCCTAAACATG